GAATTGAAATGACTACCAAACAAAAATTCAGACTCTGTTATTAAAGCACTCAAAGAAATTTTTGCGACACATGGAATACCTGATAAATTAATTGCTGATAATATGCCATTCAATTCGTTCGAAATGCACAATTTTGCTGCCAATTGGAATTTTTCAATAACTACAAGCAGTCCGAGATATCCTCGTAGTAATGGTTTGAGTGAACGATATGTTGGCATTTGTAAAAAAAATTTAACGAAATCTAACGAAACAGGGACAGATATTGAAAGTATCTTACTCGATTACAGAAATTCACCCCTTTTCAATACAGGAATCACACCAGCAATGTTATTGTACAGCAGAAAAATGAAAACTAAATTACCTATGTTGAAAACAATGTTACAACCACAAATTGTCGAAAACTTTCATAACATGCTTGAAAATCACAAACTTAAACCAAAAATAAATCATGACAAAAATACCAAAGAAAGAAATTATGATCTAAATAAAAAAATTATTATGTATAGGGATAATGATAAAAAAATTGGTCTAAAGAGTTTAGACAGTACATCCCTCGCTGTCGGAAACGTGACGACTGCATGCCTATTATGTTTTTTTTTCGCAGTGGATTTCAAAGAATTCGGTTTTGTAGTTCCTGAGTAAATCAATAAAATAAATTTACGCATTCATTAATTTTTTTGAGTCACCCTGTATATGCAAATCCAAAAAAAAATCAATGGAGTGATAAATCACAAGTACAGACTCATCATATTTTGTACAGTTTAGATAGGATTTATTCGGCAAACTTTCGAGCTGACGTCATCAATTTTTTGGAGGGGATAAGTAAATGTATTTTGACTAAACATTTATTATGCTCTTTATAACCTTAAAACATCTGCAAGATTTCAAAGCATTCGGTTTTGCAGTTCATGATTAAATCAAAAAAATAAATTTACGCATTCATTAATTTTTTTGAGTCACCCTGTATATGCAAATCCAAAAAAAAATCAATGGAGTGATAAATCACAAGTACAGACTCATCATATTTTGTACAGTTTAGATAGGATTTATTCGGCAAACTTTCGAGCTGACGTCATCAATTTTTTGGAGGGGATAAGCAAATGTATTTTGACTAAACATTTGTTATGCTCTTTATAACCTTAAAACATCTGCAAGATTTCAAAGCATTCGGTTTTGCAGTTCATGATTAAATCAAAAAAATAAATTTACGCATTCCTTAATTTTTTTGAGTCACCCTGTATATGCAAATCCAAAAAATATGAATGGAGTGATAAATTACAAGTACAGACTCATCATATTTTGTACAGTTTAGATAGGATTTATTCGGCAAACTTTTGAGCTGACGTCATCAATTTTTTGGAGGGGATAAACAAATGTATTTTGACTAAACATTTATTATGCTCTTTATAACCTTAAAACATCTTCAAGATTTCAAAGCATTCTGTTTTGTAGTTCCTGAGTAAATCAGTAAAATAAATTTACGCTTTCATTAATTTTATTGAATCACCTTGTATATGCAAATCCAAAAAATATGAAGGGAGTGATAGAACACAAGTACAGACTGATCATATTTTGTACATTTTAGATATGATTTATTCGGCACACTTTCGAGCTGACGTCATCAAGTTTTTGGAGGGGATAAGCAAATATATTTTGACTAAACATTTATTATGCTCTTTATGACCTTAAAACATCTGCAAGATTTCAGAGCATTCGGTTTTGTAGTTCCTGATTAAATCAATAAAATATATTTACGCATTCATTAATTTTTTTGAATCACCCTGTATATGCAAATCCAAAAAATATGAATGGAGTGATAAATTACAAGTACAGACTCATCATATTTTTACAGTTTAGAAGGATTTATTCGGCAAACTTTCGAGCTGACGTCATCAATTTTTTGGAGGGGATAAGCAAATATATTTTGACTAAACATTTATTATGCTCTTTATAACCTTAAAACATCTGCAAGATTTCAAAGCATTCGGTTTTGTAGTTTCTGAGTAAATCAGTAAAATAAATTTACGCTTTCATTAATTTTTTTGAGTCACCCTGTATATGCAAATCCAAAAAATATGAATGGAGTGATAGATCACAAGTACAGACTCATCATATTTTGTACATTTTAGATATGATTTATTCCACAAACTTTTGAGCTGACGTCATCAAGTTTTTGGAGGGGATAAGCAAATATTTTTTGACTAAAGATTTATGATGCTCTTTATAGCCTTAAAACATCTGCAACATTTCAAAGCATTCTGGTTAGCAGATTGAAAATTAAATTTCAAAATGTTGTTTTATAATTTTGATTTTTTTTCCAAAAATCTGGACGTTTCGGGTGAAAAGTCGATTCGGAGTTGTAAACTACATGTGTAGGACTATGTTATTTTATACAATTGAAAACCCATTTACTATGTACAATTTTGAAGTGACGTCATCGCATTAGTGGTGGGGATGATTAGACAAATTTTGGTTAGCGTTTTACCATCTACATCATATTCTTAATATAAGTACAAAATTTCACAACAATCGGTCCAGTACTTTCGGAGATTATCTGTCTAATAAAAATCCGGGACGGCAGACGGACAGACGGACGGACAGACGGACGGACAGACGGACGGACAGACGGACGGACAGACGGACGGACAGACGGACAGACAGACGGAAATGGGAGACCTATTTCTTCGTCTTCTAGGGGTCATGAAAGATCGAGAAAACGTAAAAGTAGAGATTCGGCCGACGGACTCGATTACAATACTTCCTTTGCTTACGCTCGGGAAGTAAAAATATGGAAACCAGCAAAAATCGTAAATCCATGGCATACACCGCGTTCAGTAATAATCAAAGATTTAAATACTAATAAGACTTTAAGACGCAACACTGTAGATTTGAACTTTAACAATCATTATAATTTTAAAAATGCCAAAAATTGTAAGGAGGATGAGGAACAAGTGAAACAAACGAAAAGTTCTTGCAAATCAACCTCTGATAATAATCAAAATGTAAACAGACCAAATTGTGACGTCAATCAACCGAAAATAACACGCTATGGACGTATTGTAAAGCCTGTTGTTAAGTTGAATTTGTAAATAGTAAGAAGTAGGATAAGTAGTTTTTGTAATGTTAAGAATTTATGTTTTTATTGAAAAAAAGGAGATGTAGTGATAAAACATACAAGTATTACGGGTTGCAGAAGCAAGGCAGTAGTTAACATAGCGTACTGAATGTAATCACGTTGTTTCAATAAATCACTAAAGCAGAAATGTCTTTAAAGCATAAGTACTTTTTTTGTACATCAGGGTAAATTAATAAGTGACAAAGCAAACTAGAATGTAAAATCCATACTTCAAGCACAAAATTAAAATAGTAGACATATAATTTAATGTTTCAGTACACACATACAGAGTGAGTAATTTTTAATGCAACACAACATACATCTATCAGTTATTGCTAGATTCCAAAATAAAGACATACGTAAGTACTGTTCAGAATGTCTTCTTTCCTGTGCAACACACATTTCGATGCGATTTAAGCAAGACAACCGAACGCGGGCAAGTGTTCCAAGAGTTATATTAGAGTTATTATATTTAAATCTTCACAATTACGAATAGGACTTTGGTAAACTTGTTCTTTTACAACCCCCCAGAGGAAGAAACCTAAAGGTATCAAGTCGGAACTACAAGGGAGGCATGCATTCACACTGCCTCTGCCAATCCACTTATTTGCAAACGTCTCATCAAGATAGTCCCCAACGACTCTGTGATAATGAGGTGGTGCCCCGTCCTGTTGAAACCACAGCTCTTGTCGGAGGTTGAGCGGAACATTTTCTAATAACTCCAGAAAACCATTTTACAAAAAATTGTCGTTAAGTATTACGTAATCTGCAATAATACCAGCTCACACATTTATGGAATAAACATTTTGAAAATGAGCTGCTCTGATCCAGTGTGGGTTATTTTGGGAGTAATAGTGACAGTTGTGCCGATTAACAACCCCGTAATTGCCAAATTTTGCTTCATCGCTGAACAAAACTATGAATAAAAAATTCTAGTTGATATAAAATTGGCATAAAATTGCAAAATTGTATTCTTCTGGGAAAGTCATCTTGTTTTAGAACTTGTACTAATGTCACGTGCTTCCAGACTTTTCTTTGGCGAACGGCGTCCGCCCGCCGTCACCGACGATGAGTCATCCCTCATCGCCGCACATACTAGAAAATCCATAGACGTCGTACCGCAGCGGCGTATGGGTTTATGTCGTAACAATATGTATAAAGGGAGTACAGTGCTCATTATTTTGTATCACAGGTTTTATATTTGTTTTCTTTCATAGTGTTGTCTATCGTGCCTTATTATTAGATAGATCTATTAAAAATATGTTTTGGAAATACATTTTAGTAACTACGCACTTTTGTGTGAATGAATTTTAGAAGTTAATTTACTTATTTCAGTACATAAGATTGAACAAACAGTGTTTGCAATATTTTTCAGGTAATATTGAACTATGTTATGTAAATAATACACATATACAATTTCATTACGTCAGACAAATAATCCGAACTTTATATACATACTTGATGCTGCCAGTGCGAAGCCAGACCGGTTTGCGTATTTTAGTAAGCCTTAAAACTGAGAGGCGGCACCTATATATGACCTACTTTGACTCTACAATCATTTATAGAAATCCTGTATTTATTAAATGTGTTCAAGTCTGTGTTATATATATTAATCTTTACGCGTAACAACACGAATCAGTATTTAGAACAGGGAAAATTACTACTTTTATTATATACCTTGGCTAGGCGAAATAAAATCTACTTGGTTAGACATTTTTGAATTATCTAAACATTTACGACAGCTTTGGAGTTTGACGGTCGACAAGAAAAATTTTACAGTTGTGTAAGAATTTGTAAGAAAATGAAAACAACATACATTTAGTATTCATGTTTCTATTGACGTATAAATCAAATATTAAGTTTTTGACTGAAATCTAATTTATAATCAATCGAATGGTCGAATAAGCATATTTGCTTTCTTGAGATTGTAGTTATAACGATGTGCATCATACCACATTATTCCAGACTTGTACACTTGATAATTGTCACCAGGTTTGGGTTTAATAACATAATCTCCAGTCAAAAGAGCTTTGTAACAATTCGTAAACCACCAACCAGTTTCTATAAAATGTTGTACATTTATTTCTGAAAGCAACTAAAGAAAAACTTACGAAAATGAGCTGCACATGATTCATCGTGGACATTCTCATCTTGATCGGGCGTACTGAATTTAATACCAACGTGATGTTTAAATGAGTCTCCAGCATTACCAACATAGTTACCCAAACTATTTAAAATATACTTCACAGTTTCGTTTCCGATGTTAAAATCATCGTAAAAAGCGAATACGTTCTTCAAGTCCCAATGAACCAGTTCAATTAGCAGTTCATTACGTTGGCTATCTACATCAACGAAGAAATGTTCAAATATATAGACAGTGCAAAAAAAAACTTACTCGTTAACTCGTGCAAGTAATCCAAACCCAACCAATGTTCTCCCGAAAGAGATCCAAACCCGGTTTTGTAGTCACTCCAGTTGAAACTGAAGCTTTGGGATCCGTCGACCCTGTTTAAAACTGAAACCCATCCACCACCTCGTGTCGACATATTGCACCAAACCAAGAAAGAATTATTTGATACTCTGGGCTGAATGCGATAAATTGCAGATACATTGTAACCTCTATCTTGAACTTCTTTGCAGTTCCTTGGTAAATTTTTACATCCGTGGATTTTTGTGGTGAAATTACTATTGCTTTCCTTAAGTGGATTCTCGAAAAAGCAAACCCCTTCACCCATTTTTTGGTGTTCTGTTTGCAGCGGTTTTATATTTCCAGCATCTGTTTTACTGTTATTTTCTATTTTTGATTCGACCTCACTTATTTTTTTTTCTAAAGTATTTTCCAAATAATGAATGCGTTCGTTTAGTTTATTTACGGTGTTACGAAGTTCTGTCAAAATTTCAAGTTCAGCATTGGGCGTCTGCAATTAGATAAACTATTGTAGGTCAGAGATATGTAAAAGATATAAGATTTTACATATCTCTGTTGTAGGTATGTCTAGGATAGAAATGCACTTATTTTTGTACAGGTGGCTCAATTTGACACTTACGCTACTGTCGCAACTTCTTTGTAAAAGTGTGGCATTTGGAATGACGAGTAGGAGCAGAAACACCTTCTTTGGAATCATTATCTGTAATAATAAATGACTAGGCGCACTAAAGGACAGTTTTGTCTATGAACAAACATAATAAACAATATGGATAAGAGTTATTTAAATAGAACTTCCCTCGCGTCTCAAATGCCTGTATTATATTTTCTTGACCACCATGACTGACTGAAGTGTTTTTCTTTTTTTAATCAAGTAAAATTTTAAACACATGAATGTAATTAAAGTAATTTCACAGCAAATAAAATTAGTGGTCGGGTAATGTTATTCTAAGTAGTTCCGTTACGATCGGCGTAACGTAAGACCGGAACAAATAAGATATTTTCTGTTACAAAGACCTCGTAGATGTTTGTTTTCAAAATATTTTTATAGGTGAGCCGTACAACTGTCTCAAAAATTCTTGTGACCAAAGACGAAAACCTATCAACTTCCTCCTGTGATAAAAGAAAACTGAAGAAAATTCTTAATGATTTTCTATTCAGAAAAGACCTGCTGAGGCATCGGAAGAATTTTACAACGATTTCAAAGTGCTGGTATCAGACAGACAGACAGACGAATATCTGAAAATTTTGCCGAATAAATGGTATTTAAATTTTATAAAATAAAATACTCCTCTATTTGCAATTGAACTTTGAAACTGCAAAACCTAATGCTCTGAAATCTTGCAAACTATTTAAGCTTATCGAAACCATAGTAAATCATTAATCAAAATTTATTCGTCTAATTCTTCCCAAAAAAGTTGATGACGTCTTCTTAAAATTATACCGAATAAATCTAAAATGTTCACAATATTAAGTAAGAGCTAGAAGGTTGGAATAAGAACGGGGGGAGAATATCGTATGCTTCCAATTATTTTCCAATGGTTTTGGGGTAAAATCAAACACCGTTTACGATGGGTCTATTGGTTGCACGTGTGAGCAGCTACAAAGCCCTACTGTTTTACTGGTACCGGTTCGATGCCTATAGGTTTTTTAGTATGTACGGTGCGGTGACCCATCATCGGTGACAGCGGCGCTGGAATAAAGAAAAGCCTGGAAGCGGTCCATCGAAAGTTGCGGGATGGTGGACTTCAACACAACCTCGAAAGCGGCGTTTGCGATCTTTCCAAAAGAAGCGTACAGCTGTTTAAATAGGGACTACTGTCAGCGGCAAGCTAGTTTATATATATAAAATGTGATAGCAATCGATCTACTAGTTTCGAAGATTATCTGTTTAATAAAAATCCAGAGACGGTAGGCAGACGGAAACGGAAGATCTATATTTTCATACCCTGTGGGCCACGAAATGTCGAGAAAACATGAAAATAGCCAGTCTTCCGATGGACTCGATTATAATATTTCCTTAGCTTATGCTTGAGAAATAAAAATCCACATTTTTTTAAATGATAAAACAGTATAATAGTAAGGCAACAAACCAATTTTTATTTTACCAAATTAGTTACGTGCCAACTCTGACTCAAAATGTTTTTGCTCTCTTATTTGAAAAAGTAGCAGTATGAATGTGAAAGTATCAGTTATCGCTGACATTTTTGGTTTTTTTCCCTTATAAACATAGGAAGATCTCCACCTGTGTAAAAGTCAAGTTCAACGACACATTGAATAGCTAGATTTCTGCTTATCGTTCAGAAAAACTGAAGTCCCATATGCATTTTTCATGTGTATATTATGTGTGACAGACAACATTCACTAAGATAAACAGGTTAGTTATAATAATAGCAAGAACATATTTAATACGACTATTGTTCTCGCTTTTTTTTTATTATCGACGCAGTTAATGTAGCTAGAGCAACTAGACCACTTCCCGCGGCAGCTAGCGGTGGGCAGGTGTGAGAAGCAGCCACCATAGCACCGCCGACAAATTTTGCAGCAGTTAAGGCAGAATCCACTAGTTCTCTCTTGTTAATATCAGCTTCATTATTTTTGTATATTTGTTCACAATTCTAAAATTGCAGTTATTTAATTACAACATTACCTATATTAATAAGAAACATCTTACATCTGTTAGACGCTGCTTAAATATATCTCGCAATTCCTCTTCACAATCCGAATTCGCATTAACATTTTTTTCAAATTTATCCAAAATTTCGTTCTTTGCTTCTTCGGCATGTTGTAAAGTATTGCAGTTAGATATGGAGTTGTTGTATTCCTGCTCTAGTTTCTTTACGTTTATGAAAAGCGTGTAAAAATTTTCACACATCTGATGGAGCGGCTAAAAAGGAGTTTGTTATAATTACTTTTAGACAGGTAGGTGTCAAAATTATTTGTTGCGAAAGATTATATGTTCTGTTCTGTATTGTCTTATGTTTGACATACTCAATTTGCTTTTAATTAAGTGTTCCATGCACTTTATCAAGCAGCTAAAAATAAGTTTTATTACGATCCAGAGTAGTCAAATTTATTTATTGTGAAAAATTATACATTCCGCATGCGTTTCCGTTTGACACATATTCCTTTCAATTTTCAGATTAAATTATATAATTCTTTATATTGAAAAACTTACTGCATTTAACCGTGCCTTAAAATTATCTCGAAAATCCTCATTACAATTCACGTTCTCGCTTTCTTTTTTAAATTTCTCCAAAATATTCTTTATCTGTGTTTGAGCTTGCTCTAAAGTTCTGCATTCTTTAACGCTTTCGGTGTATTCCTCTATTAACTGACTCATGAGGTCGAAAAGTGTATGAACATTCTTATACATCTTATCAATCAGCTAAAATCAAGTTTTATTATCTACATTTATACGTTCCGTGGCTTTTTATTTGATACATATTCCTTTTTCTCTAGTATTTATAGTAAAAAAACTTACTCCTGTTAACCGCTGCTTCGATTTTTTTCGTAACTCCTCGTCGCAGTTCAAGTTTCCAGTTCTTTTCTGAAATTTCACCAAAATTGTCATCTTCATTTCCTCCGCGCTCTTTAGAGTTCTACAATCTTTTATATATTGGATATATTCCTTTCTTAGGTCATCTTCTTGGTTTAAAAGTGTAAGAAAATCATTACATACTGCATCAAGCAACTAAAAAGAAATTTTCGCAACAGATATAAATTTGTATAACAACTCACAAGAAATCAGTTATGTGTTAAATTATAAAAGTAGCTACCTCTGTCAATTTTTGTTTAAAACTTTCTTGCAATTCTTTTGTAGCCAACTTCATCTCCCTTGCCATTCCAAGGTCTTTCAAAATTTTACTTTTCTCAGCATCAATTTGCGTTTTATTTTCACAACTCCGTAAAAACTTCTTGTATTCTTCTACCGTTCGATCCATACGACGTTGAAGGAAAATCTCAGCATATGCCTGAAAATACAAAGTGACTACTACGAAATCACTGAATTCAAGAGTGCACCATGCAAATTGTGTCAACCGATAGCTGTGTTTCGGTATTAATATGCTTGCAATAGGTACTAATAAATGTAACTAAATCCTTGACCTTGACGAAATGACCATCTATCTTTTTTGGTACCAAATTTTCTGGTCTTAAAAGATGATCAACGAAGGTTTTCACACAATCACGAAATTCTTCTCCCATATCTAAGAAATCGGTTCAGAAAATAATTTCTACCACTTCCAAAATTCAGAATTACCGTTAAAATGCCTTCGTCTCGACTTTCTCTTTAGGATTTGGCATCAAAAAACATCGAATATTCTGGAAGTTTCCTTGAATAATTTGTTGTATTTCGCTCAGGTTGGATTTTTTGTGATTTTTAAATGCTGAATTTAATAATTCTTTGCCACCTTCAAAACCGAAATCGAATTCATCAGGATGTATCCAATCTCGAATCAAAATGAGCAAATCTTGGAAAGGTTTGTGCCCGCTTTCGCTAAACATTGCGCCATATCCCGTAAATAACTAAAAAAAAAACAATAAATAAATTCGCTTTGATAAAAGCAAAAACTTTACTTGTAACATTTTCAGGTCATCTGAATTAAGTTTCTTCTGGAGGTTGTAAATTTGGACCGAGCTAATTAATGCACTGAGGGCAAAAATTTTAGAGCACTCAGTGTCAGAGGCTCTGTTGTCGGACGTTCCTTGAGTGTCCATCAAAATTATAGCAATCTAAAACAGCAAACCTTTAGTTTTTTGTTTTATTTAAAATAAATGGTTGTACTTGTTCGCCTTTTTTTGTTTTCGTTAAAAAAATCTCTGGACATATAAAAATACCATCTGTAACTCTGTTCACAGTACTTTTCCATAAAAATCCAGGAGTCAGTGTGTCATCTACGTCCATCCATTCTTTTACATTTTCGCACTAAGAAAAATACAAGTTGAAGTCACTGCGTGTTGAAAAATCCACACATTATTTTTTGTTTGTCGCATCACTCAAACAATGCGGAGAATTAGATCTTGTGGCGTATTAACCATAGAATATCTTACCTTGTTTCTAAGGTAATGCAAAAAAAAATTGAGGAGGAAAGATTTGCCTGTTCTGTAGCTTCCATTGATTGAAATGACGCAAACTTTACAATCTTTGATTTTTTTTTTTTTTTTTTTAATAATTACTTTTCCAACAGGCCGAGAGGCCCAATTACAGGAAAAGGGGACATACAAAAACACCCAGAGACAGAGCGGGAATCGAACCCACGACCCAAGGTGTAGTGGGCAGATGCCAAGCCACCTCACCCACCGGGTCCTTTTTTCATCACGTTTCAGTAACTGCAGCCGATCTTCGTAAAATATAATTTTTTCGGTGTCTTCATCGAATTTGAATATTTGGATAGCATCTTGACTGTTACTCTGAAAAAAAAGTCATGCCTTGCTTATTTACTTGCGGCTCCAACCAATAGTATAAACACATTTAAGTTTACTCTAAAATATATACATTCGCAGTTTGAAAAAGCGAAAAAAAAAAGTTTCTTAATTGTTTTTTGTCAACACAAAAAAGTGACATAATCAGGGATTTAGTGGAGTTTCTAAAAATCTGATAAAGTTGTTTTAATTTAATCCGCGACCTTTGATACCACATTTGGGCAACTGTAGGTAATCAAAGATGTAATACATATTTTTCTACATTTTTTTGAAATTACGACACCATCCAATACTTACGTTTTCCGTAATACTGTCATACGATTTCTGTGTGGTCTGGAACGCCGAAACCGTTCTCGACTGCATTATTTAGATTTCTATATGAAATTTAGTTAATTTTTAACTTTTAGTTTGCACATTTTGGATCTATGTTACCTAGATGACATTTACTATAGCAATTTGAACATTTAAGTATGTAATACTTAATAGTTACTGTGTTATCAATAAATATTAATAACCTTTGAGTTTTGATCCACACCACTTTAAAATTCCCGTAAAACGTAACACTACTTCAACTATTTACCCAGATGTTTACGCACGTTTTAGCTGAAGTGCTACGATATTCACGATGATAATAAAATACGTCTGGAATTTCCAGAACATGCGTATGTTAACAGTTGTTAATCAGATAAAAATCTTCGCTAAACAATACCTAATATTAAAAAAATATCAGATAATTTGTACTACATAATTTTTACTTATGATAGAAGAAACAAAAACGGTGAAAAAAATTAATTTAAAATTCTGTTCGCAAATCTAAAAAATGTAGGGACTGCCTGAGTTAATTTTCGTTGGTCTTTATCCCCACAGCATTTACGAATTGTGGTTCTCAAGTCTTACGTTCTTTCATCACGCACATATTACCGAATAGATGATTATTTTCTACCAACGACAAGGATATTGGAATATTTTATTACATTTTTGGTGCATGATATGCCAAGAGATTACATGTCAATAAAGGCTCCTGGATACCATAGACCTTATGAAGAATATTGTTATCAATCTGTGTATATTTGTAAATTTCGTGTTTTTAACACTTGCGATTTTAACTTTGTAACTTCCCGAGTGTAAGCTAAGGAAATGTGATAATACGGTTCATTGGAAAAAATAGGTCTTACAATCCGTTTGTCTGCGTCGATTTTTATTAGACAGATAATTTCGGAAACTATTAGATCGATTGTTAGGAATATAGTGTAGACGGTAAAACAACAACCAAAATTTTACAAATCTCTCACACCACTAATTTGATGACGTCGCCTCAAAACTTTTTTGTAACATGTTCATGTTCTTGTGGTTTATGAATTCGCCTTGAGTTTTTAACGCCCTACACCAGCTAGAAACTTTTTCTTAAAATCCACGAAAGTATTATAATCGAGTCCATCTGGCGGCTGGCTGTTGTTATGTTTTCTTGACGGTTCATGAACCCTAGACTACGAGAAAATAGGTCTCGCATTTCCGTCTGTGTATCTGTCTGTCGTATGTCCAAATTTTCATTAGACAGATAATCTATTGTAATATATTATAAAACTATTGTTGTTATATAGGAGTATGTATATTAGAAATATCGTGTAGATGGTAAAGCACTAACCAATATTTTGCTAATCGTCCCCACAAACAACAAAAATTTATATTTGTAAATGTTATGAAAATCAATTTTATAAAATAACATACGCCTGCATGTGGAGTATTTATGCTAGACATTGGGAAAAAAAAGTTAACGAATTGATTAGTTCTCCATAGGGGCTGTGGGGGTGTCGATTTTTATTAAACGCGTGATCTCGGAAATAATTGGACAAATTTTGTAAGTATATTAGAAATATCATGTAGATGGTTAAACGCTAAGGATTTACTTTCTAAAATTTTTGTGGAACAGACTCATCCGTTCAGAAATACTTAATACCAACTAAACTTTTTCACGTATAACTCGAATTAAAATAATACATATGTTACGAGATCAAAATGTAACGTACTAGGGAATACCACACAAATGACTGACGTACTACGTTTTTTTTTATTTGATTTCGTCTTTTTTCCGTCATCACTGTGACATTTAATGTGTATTTGTATTATCTGAAGAAACATTACTAATACTCAAACAGTATTAATATCTAGTATTTTTGAAATGCATAATAAATAGGTACAAATATTTTTTTTAAATTGGTAATTTAATACTTTCCCAAAAATTACGTTTGAAGTATTAATGTTGCAATATTTTTAAAACCTGGTATTCGTTACGTTGGATATGATATAACATCAGAAAAAAATTGTAGCATGAAAATACCCACATATATAAAATTAAGAATTTTAACTTACCTTGTTCAAGTTGTTGTTTGTTCACCACTAATTCATCTATTGTTTGTATTGTTGGTTTTTTTCTTTTTTTTTAAGTAAACTGGTTAAGAAAATCCAGGCAGGACGTGATGCTTGTGGAAATTCCACATACTAAGGTGTACAAGACGTTCATAAATGTATTGTACATCCAATGACCAGTGATATTACAAGAGTTGCATATTTGCCACTTCTTAGTAATGCCAGATAATTTTAAATATTTAATTAAAATGGTTAATATGTCAACTGAGTAGCTAAGTATAACAATTGAACAGTTTAGGATGGTGCCACCGGGACACCGGGAAATTTCCCCGAAACAGTCTAGGACTTCTTTTTTTTTTTCATACAACACATTTTTCACATATAGAGGATGTTACAATTATAAATGCAATAAATATTCCTAAAAATATAACAGACGCATAAAAAACTACTAAACATTAAATAAGAGCATCTTTTTACTTTCAGAATACAGCATTCTGTTGACGGTCACAATTCAACGACAAATTTTTAAAATTAAGTGCACATGTCTAATTTTGGCAGGATGTTTGGGTTAACATAGGACAAAAAACATATGCACTCCCAAGCTTAAATTGATATAGATTTAATAACAATTCAGAGTAAAAATGTATTTACTACTTAAGTACTAGATATAAGACGAAAATATTTTCAGTTAATATATAATAAGAAAATTACAAGAACTAAGTGAGGCTGATAACATCTGATCAACGAGAAACGTCCTCAAGTAGGCGCTTATCTAGCAAGCGGTATTATCCATTTGTACTACTGCTTGCCCTCCGTTTAGTTTGCAAATAACCCGCATTTTTTTTTCAGCCACGAATTCAGTTTTATATTCCAACCTTTAGATCTTCACTATGAATACACTGTAGTGCCCCATATTGTATATTTAATCTACATATAAGTATTGCTTCTATAGTACCATTCTTCTTTCCAAGCGGATGCAATTTTTTTTTTCTCTTTTTTTGTTTGCATTCCATAGGTTACTCTGTCTGTTACGTTGGTTGAATTTACTAGATCTCTAACACAATTATACTCATTCTCAGCTTCATATTTTCAGGTCCGATGATCCCAAAGCATTTGAATTTCTTCTTTTAATTTTCTGTTATTTAATTTTAGTAATTCACTTTCTAAAAGTTTGCAGTTTTTTTCTCGAAGAAGTTGATTTTCTTCCAATAGAGCATTGTTTGAATTTGAAACTGAAAAGATACAACAATAAATTATAACCCCTGATTATTAAATGACGCCATTTTAAATTTATATATACATCTATGTAGTATTTTGACTTAATGTTTGTCCTTTTCCTTGCTGCTAGTAACAAAAATATTCTTACTTTAAATAAAATAAAAATACTGAAAATATTTACAATGGTTTTATGAACATCTCATTATTTTCACTTTTTGCATTATTTTTTTTGCGAAGAGGTCCAGCGTCTTTGTTTCGACGACGTTTCCTTTTTTCCACGGTGGTAACTGGTGCTGAAACCTGTCTTCGAACAATTTTGGTAGTGTTGGGTCCAAACACTCCTCCGGATCCACTTGTGGTTACGGAAATCAAGAGCCCTGGATTAAGCATCTCCTCTCGGCGTCTTCGTTTATCCAACACCCTGTGGTCCTTGATGGTCTTCCTCAAAACAGGATCTCCCTGGGCGATGTGTTTCCACAGGTCGTTGGAGCTGACAGCAGTTAGAAGTGAAGTAGGGTCCAAACACCTGAAACAAACAAAATATTAGTAAAAAATTACAATAAAAATAAAAATATTATTTACCTCAAGATGATGGCCCAAAGCTCCACTGGTAAATTCGGCAAAGCACATTCAACGTCGGGGATGAAAGGTAAAATTTTGTACATCCTGGAAAATTTTATCGTGCAAGCAGAGGATAAACTGAATGGGTGGCGGCACGTTGCGGTATATATACTCGATACGTGCTCCACTCGACTAACGATGGGAAGGGAAGCGGAGGAGTGCGGCCGCGGTCAGTTTGAACTATGTTATGTTTTTAATTAATTGTCTTAACATCTGCGAATTTGTTCTTAAGTAAACTGTGGTTGTAATTTCTCGAAATTGATCTGAACTTATCTGTATCTGAGGCATCGATTCTGCAGTCATCTTCGAGCGTATTCAAGAATAGAAATCCAGTATTAGCTATTCATCTCAAAAACTTGGTTAATAAATCTGGTTCGAAATAAACAGGTTTTTAAAGTTCCGAATCCATAAAATTTAACAAAAACAAAACAAAAACAATTAACACATAAAAAAGACAGTTTCGAACGCCGTGATTGTGTTACTTTAGACTAAAATAAATGTTCACAATATGTTCCAATAATGCAATACCACATAATACAGTACAATAGAGTATGGCAAGATTAGAATATAGTGATGTCTTGTGTCCATTGTTACGATCCTAATTTTTTTGTTGCTAAAGAATCTTAATCTTGATATTCCTTGTGGTATTCTTCCTTGAGTAAGACACGTGTTGAATGTGTCATTTATTGTTTTTCTATGGCTTCATTTCCACTTATTATTTCTATTAATAGTTCGTGTTCACCGGGTGGTTTGTTATTTTTGCACTTGCACTTCTTCACCTATTATTTATGTTTTAGGATTTTTTTAAACTCCTGGAAAAGCTTTCCTACGTTCTACTTCTGTATTTATATACATACCCAGTAAACATGAAACATTAATGCAACGTTTATAATCAACCGTTAAATGAAACGCCTGTAACATAGTTTAGGAAACATTTATTACACATCTCCGAATTATTTAGAAAAACATTGATCGGTCTGCGCCTCAGATGTGTTTCTACTATGTTTCCTGAAAAACGTTGGCGCCATAATGTAGGGTGAGTCGCCATTGTTTTTCTAATATGAATCTTGTATAGTCGTGCAGTGGTCGTCGTCTTCGTTTATGGTAGAATACATAAGTTACTCACAATCAAAAGTTTTGAATAGCGTAAAGTTTATGGATAATTATGAATAAG